GAGGCATACACATGTCCACATGCTCCACTGAAGACACAGGCATGATGTCATGGCTCCTTCTTTACATCCAATTAGCAGCTTTGAAGTCTCCCGTTAGCAGTGGAGGGATTGGACAATGGCTTTACATTATGTCACTTCTACTCCTGGTACTTTAACTATATTTTAATGCCAATACTAAGTAAGATTTTGAATACAGGACACACAAAGTGATAGTATAATGTGTCATAAAGTTTTCATAATGTTGTACTTCAAAATAATATCATAAAAAGTCATGGTAAGATTTTGAATAAAGGACTTTAACTGAGCAGGTCGCTACAGTATAATTATTAGCTCCACTTTAACCAGCTGTAATCAACACACTAATGCATCAATAATCAAAATACAGTCATTTAATATATACATCTATATATGATCCTTGAAAGGCCAAAAATACTATATCTGATCAAATATTTTACAATGGCTCTGCACTATTTTTTTACTATTACATTTGGTACTTTATGTATATTTTGATGCTAAAATGTATGTACTTTTACTTGAGTACGATTTTGAATGCAGGAAATAAAAGGTATAAGTATATTTCATTATAAAAAGTCATGGTATAGTCTGTCATAAAATGTAATACTTGAGTATGTCATAAAAAAGTAATGGTGTGACATTAAAAGTCATAAATAAGGTGATGGTATAATATATAGAAAGTCATATGTTGTACTTACTTGTACTCATGTCATATGAATTGTGATATGGAATGACATAGAAAGTTAGTTTAGTATGTTATAAAAAGTAATTAAATGAATATCCAACCAAGTCATAGTATATGGAGCATTTCATGAAAACGTGAGCATTTCAATATGAAGCTGAAAATAGCATAACATAAATAAACAGACAAGTAATACATAGAATATAGAGTATTAAAATAATTCACAATTTAAAGGGGACCTATTATGCAGAATCCCCTTTGTTCCATGTCTCTTCTACATCAACAGTGTCCCCTCCTTCTTCATGTCTCTTCTACATCAACATGTGTCCCCTCTTCTTCATGTCTCTTCTACATCAACATGTGTCCCCTCTTCTTCATGTCTCTTCTACATCAACATGTGTCCCCTCTTCTTCATGTCTCTTCTACATCACCATGTGTCCCCTCTTCTTCATGTCTCTTCTACATCAACATGTGTCCCCTCTTCTTCATGTCTCTTCTTCTACATCAACATGTGTCCCCTCTTCTTCATGTCTCTTCTACATCAACATGTGTCCCTCTTCTTCTGTCTTTCTACATCAACATGTGTCCCCTCTTCTTCATGTCTCTTCTACATCAACATGTGTCCCCTCCTCTTCAGTCCTCTTCTACCATCAACATGTGTCCCCCTCTTCTTCATGTCTCTTCTACATCAACATGTGTCCCCTCTTCTCATGTCTCTTCTACATCAACATGTGTCCCCTCTTCTTCATGTTCTCTTCTACATCAACATGTGTCCCCTCCTTCTTCATGTCTCTTCTACATTCAGCATGTGTCCCCCTCTTCTTCATGTCTCTTCTACATCACCATGTGTCCCTCGTGTTAAAGAGATTCTGAAAGTTTTCAGGAAAAAAGATTCTCTCTCTTTTTTTTGCCCTGATCCATTTATATAAAACCTGGCCTTTATTTATACAGGTGTAAAATCTCATTGAGACACAAGGTCTCATTTTCAAGAGAGACTGTCAGTGGGTAACAATACCACACAAAGTTACAGACAGACAGGACACTAAACACAGAGGCAACACTAAAATACAACACTGTAAAAAAGTAGTCATTGAAATCCATATAAAGTAGTCAGATATAGCAGGTGCAAACACCCACAGATGATTTCTCCAGCTTTTTTTAAATTAGTTTAAAATCCGTGATGGGTATCAAACTGGTCAGCTTAAGTTCCTGCTGAAGTGTGTTCCAGGTCGAGGGGGCAGAGTATGATATGGCTTTTTTCCCAAGCACCGTGCGAACTGAGGGGACGGACAGAGTGATGTAATTTTGAGATCGTAGGCTATAGCTGTACTGTTTGTGTGATATGTAAGTGGATATGTCACCTGAATCTCCTCCTAGAGCACCATTGTGTTCTTTTTAACCAAATATCTCTCAGAGGGGCGTGGGGAGGGGCTCCTTATTTTCATCTAAAGTAACAGACAGAGAATCAGCACTTTTGAAACAGGGCTGAAACAGAGGGGATTATGGGATGCTGCAATGATCTGTTTGGTGTTTCAGCCAATCAGAGACATGTTCTGTATATATCTGAGACCTGTGATATATTGATGAAAAACAGTATAATAGGTCCCCTTTAAATATAACAAAACATGCTGTTTCTCAGTTTGTTCCTCTCTCCTTTTCCTCCCACTTTTTGTTTGTTTTAAACACAATTCTTAAATGTTCTAAACTTTGAAAAATCATCTCATAAATGATGATGGTGCATTATGTCCCCACGCTTCACTCAATCCCTCAATAGCCGCTTACATGATGTCCTGGCTGCAGAAGAGCGGTTTTTTGGGGAGCCGCTTCATGTTTATATCCAATTACCACAGCTTTGAAGTTCCTGCTGCCTTTGTAACGTTCCTACAAAGGCTCTGCATTATGAGACGCCACTGTTTGTTTAACACAAACCATGTCATTTATAGCATTTCAGAATATTAAGTCAGAGCCTTTTCAGCGTAATGTTTCCTGTTTATCCAGTTTGTTGACATTTAGAGCATTTCACTGCTGCTTTAAATATTTAGGACGATCACAGATCCACATATCAGAGGATTTGATATTCAAATCTCTCTGAGCTCGACTTGCAAACAACTTGCAAAACATTTGGTTTGTTGTTTCCCTTCGAGCATCTCTCTGCAGCGTTTCATTTCACTCTCACTGCCTCTCACACACACACACACACACACACACACACACACACACACACACACGCACCACACACACGCACACACACACACGCACACACACACGCACACGCACACGCACACGCACACGCACACGCACACGCACATCCATCCATCTTCCTCAAGGTAACTCGTCTCGTCTCCTGCATGCAGAGCGACAGGAGGAAATGGAGAGTGGTGAGGAAGGACGTTGAAAGATTGATGATGCTCTGAAAAACCACAGGTTTAAGTGTTGACAGAATCATGTTATAAACCATATTACAATATTATTACACTACCATTGAAAGGGGAACTTTGCAAGGAGCTTTTTGACGGTAGAAACTCTCATTTCAATGACTATTGCTGGCTTTGTTCACCTTCCAATAGGGAACATAGGCTAGGTTTAGGTCGCCATGAAGAATGGTTAATTAATATGTTTCTGCCAACAGAGGTCATTTTCTTCTCTTGGGGTTAAATCATCTGTTGCAAGGTAATCTTTAAGTTAGTAATGAAAGAGGAAGACTTGAAAGGTAAAGTATCCCAGTAGCTCATCATGTGGTTGTTGCAGCGGCTCGATATCTCAGACGTCACAAACATCTCCTGATCCTGCAGCAGCCCGTTCAGAGAGAGGGTGAATTCCTCTGAGCGTCTCCTCCCTGCCAGGCCTGCAGACGAGCCAACCACACAACCCTCCCTCCACCCTCCACCCCCCCCCCACCCCCCACACCCTCCACCCAACGCTGCATCTGCCCTACACCCCAATGCACCGTCTCCTATACACTAGTTCATCAAAAAACGTACAAATTGGGATTTTGGTGCTACTAGTGCCGCTCCTGGCGTCACTAGTAAGGCTTATGTAGTAACTAGTCGGACAAAAGTGCCACTAGCTGCTGAAAAAGGGTGACTAGTAAAATGTTTTATTCAACTAGTCAAGCAGAGTGCCAAACTAGTTTGACCATGAGTGCAATCAAAGAGCCAACTAGTGTAGGCAGCTGCCGTCTGATATCAAGGATATGGAATAAATACTCAAACGGCTTGCCATACACGCCCTGCCTGCACCACCCTGTCATGTTTACATTTAACTTAAACATCCATCTGTTGAGAGACATTGTGCGCTCTTTAGTTAGCTACTGTTCCCAAGGTCAATCATTATTTTTCATTCTCTTCCAGCAACAAATGAGATTGAAGTGTCGGCTGGAGAGGAAGCAGCACCTGAATACCTCTGAGCAGCAGTGACACGTTAAGGTTTGAGCTTCATCATTGGTGCACATCTTACATGAACAGTGGTGGAGAGGAACTTAGAGCCATAACTCAAGTGCTGCATTGCAATGTTTTGATATTATATAGTTAACACTCGTGTAAATGTAGTTCTTTTTGGATTTTTTCTTGTCATATTTTATTTTATTTGTCCATGAAGCAATGAAACATCAGAAAATGTCTCTGTTTACATGTGGTGTTATTCCACCACATGTATTTCATCACTTAACATTCAGCATATTCAGATGAATACAAAATATAATCCACATTTTTTAATGATTTAATTCAGATTGAACATAAATTACTCCTTGGGGAAATTTCACAAAATACTATGTAGTATAAATATTTGTAGAAATGAGCCCAAACCTATATCTTAAACAATAACGTCTTAAACCAATGTATGTAAAAATCCTAATATTACAATATATAATATACATTGTTCTGAAATCAGCCATATATTGCACATGCAGAGTATATTTCTATGCTAATATTTGATGCTATATACTTAGGTAAAGATATGAATGCGTTGCAACACAACACTGTGGTATTAATTTCTAACTAAGTACAACATCTGAGTACTTCTTCTTGCTCTACACATACCACATAACCAGGATGTGTGATATCTCTATGATAAGTAGAGGATTATAATAAAGACGGAGCCTGGACTGTTCATCCCTCTGGATCTTCTCACAGACAGCAGGAAGGAGACGGGTGTTTCCGGTAAATACCAAACCACTCCTATAACCTGCGTTTGGAAACTATTCCAGGCACGTTGGGAACCTGTGTGATTACACGGCTGCTTAATGACACAGCCGCTGAATTCCACTCATTCCCTGGGAAAGAAAAAGAGGACAAACTGCGGAAAATATGTTTTCAACAAGATATTTATTGACGAGTTATGGGCTGTAGAACAGGAAGTAACAAATGGTGTATCAGTAATAGCTTAATATATCAGTGTATTTGATATTTACACACAGAAGAAAATGGAGATTGTTGAGAATTTGCTACAAAAATGCTTTGATTATTCCCACTACCCAAGCTGGGTTAAGACAAAGATATAAAATTAAGACCGTTAAGAAACTTCTTTGTACAAAATGTGCAAATCAAAGGCTTCTACAAGTTCATTACAGAGCAAATATGTACAAACTATACACACAGGAAATAATATCATAGCTAAAAAAGTATTCCCTAGATACTTTGGACACTTCTTGTTACTTAAATCCAGAATGAAACGAAGGTTAGATATTCAGGTTTTGGCAACGTTTAAGCTTTAAATATGACGATTCGACACTTAAATGGCCAAACAATGTAAGAGTTCAGTCCGTAATAAGAATAGTGTTTATCGCAAAAAGTACATTCACAAAAGAAGAAGACAGAAAACCTTCCTTTAACAAAAACAGGCACAACTACACACACCCTGAGACACAAAGTAGACCAAATCATAGTTAGAAATAACATCTTTTCCCCCGCCTCATTCTCTCTTTAGCGAGCGTGTATTTTCAGTTCGGAGGAGGAAAGATACAAATTTAGCTTTACCAAAATTGAGGGAAGCCCGAGTCCAACGCCTAAAAATACAGACAGCAGGATTGTTTCTGTGCACGAAATCATACGCTTCCCCAAATCCTCTCTGCTTCCCCCCACATTAAATGACACCTGAGGAAACGCTCAGAGAGAGAGAGAGAGACCACAACCAAGCTCCAGCTGACGTCTGTTTAGTCTGATGTCAAACAACATGTCAAAGTGACACAGAAGTCCTTCCAGCATCTGGAGAAGTGGACATCTGACGGCAGGATGATGCACATGTGGGATGATTGCAGATGAGCAGAAGCAGATTCATCTCAGGAGGCGAACAGTTAGAAGATTTGAAGCCCAGAGCTCACATTGAAGCATTTTCACTGCATGGTACGGTTTTATATAAATTAGCAGAAGTTGCTGGTTGATGGTAGCTAATGTTTTTTTTTCTGCTACCATCTCTGGTAGGGTTGCAAAATGAATTGAAATGAATGAAAAACCCCATTTATGTTACGCCCCAGCTCGTTGGGGACCAGGTCAATCTGGTTTTGTATTGCCTCTCTTTTCCCAATGAGCTGGCAGGTATCATTCAAAATGGCAGTCAGTGCAATATTTGGTAAATGCAAAAATATTTAGAATATATAACTTCTAGCGATAGTAGCGTCTGCAAAAATAAATGGCAGACTGCTCAGAAAAGGACGCTAGGTGCAGCGCTTTCTCTTGAGGCGGTCGTAGGAAACAGAATGCGTTTTTCTAGTTATTGGAAACACGTACAAAAACATGTTGTCGCTCATAAAAAAAGCGCTATGTGGAGACAGGTCTTTCATCATGATCATTTTAGCATATTTTCACGAGACATTCAGCACAAATCTGATATTTTTTAAGGCAAAGCTACCATTATTTACATTTTTAAAAATGTGCTTTAAGCAGACGTTTAGTTGTTAATTTGCACTTTAAGGATTCAGTGAGCGTCCATTTGAAGATGGTGGCATCACAACAATCATCTGATTCCCCCATCTACACTGAGATGGGAATTTCTGCAGTGGAAAATGAACCAGAGAATGGAACCTGCTACCAGAAGAGGTAAAAGAAGCGTACCATGCAGTGGAAACACATCCCTGCTCTCTCTGCTTCACATGTTATATTGAGACTGCGATATCCCTGCCGTACACATGGCAACGAGTCCAGCTCGGGCTACATGGGAAAGTTACACAAGGAGTCCGAGTAAACAGATCAGGTGGAGGGAGGCCGCAGACTTCCTGTCTCTGAAGATAATGTAAATCAGGCTGGATGGAGCCTCAGCGGGGATACACAAACTCTTCCTCACATGGCTGCATACCAGACACCGACCTGTGGGGGGGAGAGAGAGAGAGAGAGAGAGAGAGAGAGAGAGAGAGAGAGGCGGGTTAATGTCCATCCTGTGAACCCTGCACCACCATCACATGACTTTCTCAGGGAGCGCGCAGGAATGCTGAGACTTCGGTTCTCCGAGCTTCACGTCAGCTTATCACCATGCCATTTTATCAGGCTTACCCACATAGCGTTAATAATGCTTGGGGATGGGGCGTTATTTAACCAAAGTCCCCCGTCCCCCCCCCTGGCATGTGGGATTAAGCTGCTCAGGCCATTTATGTCGCGGGGTAATAAATATCTGGAGCGGACCCCCCGCTGCTCCAGAACCATCTGCTGTACGAGGATATAACTCGTACTGTAAGAGGCTTTGTTATAATTCAATTTACACATTCCAACATCTAAGTGCTTTATTGTCATATGCACAATAGATACAGTTTGGAAATTAGAGTCCCAGGTTCCTCAAAGGGTGTGGTAGAGAAACTCCTTTGAAACTTAGGAACTTTGAGATTTTAGCCTTAGCAAACCATTTACATGCACACAAACCTATATAACACTACAAATCATAATGGAGTCCCTTTAAAGTGAAGCAGTCATTTTGTGAACTCTCCCAACAGTTTTAAGCTATTTTATTATTAGCCTTAAGTCATTTTAACCACATAACTGATGGCTATTTATCAAAAAAATAATTGTGTTAGTATTTAGTGAACGCACTGATGTGGTAATATATCAAGGTATCTGATCAGAAATATAATATTTGATTTGTTCAAGTTGCCCAGCTCTTCTACAAACATTCTTTAGAAATCTCTCATCTCCACCCTCAGATAATAAGGTATTTCATTTCCCTCCCCTGTTGTTATAAAGGAATGTTCCACTGGATATTTCGGATGCTTTGGAGAGACGTTAAACCTCTGATTTGCATATTTCTGATGATATCTCAGGCCTGCCAGTTCAGATGAAGGTTATCTGTGTGCTCTTTATCCCAGCTGACAGTTACAGGCTCTGCGGAGGACTTGTTTGGATAACTTAATGAGTTCTCATTTCCCCGGCTGACAAAGCCTCTGAAGCCCAGACTGATCCGTACACTCTGCAACCCAGAACACATCGCCTGGAGCAGACTGGCTGCAGTTTAAATATATTTAAACTGTCAAAAAGTATTACTCTGTAGATGCTAAGCCAACTTAAGTATCTTGTAATGAACCTAAATGCTAAAATGGACTTAATAGACAACAAAAACGCGAAAGACAACTGGGAAAAATCCACTTAAGGGCTCGGTAAGTTTTTTACCAATACCAAAAACAGAGCCTATATTTTAATACCTTACTTAAAAAATACAATATTTTAAAGTAATAGTTACGATGGATATCATTGGCATATTTCTCAGTTCAAGCTTCAGCTAGCATCCGGTTAGCTTAGCCTAGCTTAGCTCAAAGACTGGAAATGTAATGAAGAGAGTTAGGTTTGTCTAAAGCAGGGGTGTCAAACTCAAGGCCCGGGGGCCAAATCCGGCCCGTGAGTTCATTTATGTGGCCCACAACAGCTCTGAAGGAATATAATATGTTTATTATACGGTTACATGCCGATTTACAGAAGCACGTTGCCCATAAACTACATGTCCCACAATGCATCTCAAATTTGACTTTTTTTCTCAGAATTTGACTTTTTTTTTCAAAATGTCACTTTTATTCTCCAACATTTCACCTTTTATTTTGTGACTTTTTTTCTCCAGAATTTGGCTTTTCTTTTTAAAACATTTTGTGACATTCTCACTGAAGAGACTTGCAATTATTTGCCCTAGACTTCTGCTTTCAGACGTAGTTAATTATGAAGTTATTACCCTATCCGATAACAATCCAATGCAGAGGCAATAACTTTATTTTATATATATTAAATATTTATATAGTCTTAAAATTATAACCGGCCCTTTGAGTGCAACCATAATGCTAATGTGGCCCGTGATGAAATTGAGTTAGACACCCCTGGTCTAAAGGCAACAAAACAAATCCTTTAAGCACCTTTCTGATCTAATCAACATATATCTGCTTCATTTAACCCCATCAACAACTGAACTGCATAACCAGAACATTGGGAGAAACTGACTTTTATCTCATGTTTACCATGCCAGGACATCTGAATGAAATACTGTGGTGGTCATGGTTTGAATCAATGAATTGAATGATAGAAATGTGGAAAATTGTCCAAATAGACCAAAGTCAACACCTGTCGAGTAAGAGGAACTCTGCTTTTAGCTGTTTTAGATTGATAGTAAGTGTAAATAGGACAAGCTGTGGTTTTGACTTCTTGTGTATGTACTGGTCTACTCCTTGGCTCTGAACGGTAGCTTCCTGGTGTATTATCCTTACTGTGAGATTGCTTGGCAACCTGTGAGGAATCCCTTTAATTGAACACAAGAGGCAACACTTCTCAATGGTAAATGAACCAGAATAGTGTCTAAAGTTGGCAAAATGATCATCTGAACCTGGTGCTCACACAATAGCATAAACAAGATTACAAATCTAGCCTCACCAGGGTATATGCAGGAATCCTGAAGTCAAATGTAAATCCCTTTTAAGACCTTTTTTAAGACCCTTTCCATACATTTTAAGACCTCATCGCCACTTGGAGTTGTAACCGGTTACATAGGCGACACACTTTACCTCACATTGACTATATACAGTATTGATTGTCCTTCCTCCTTATCTTCCAACCATTTGGACGCAGACTTGCATTTCCCCATAACGATGTTGTTTAACAACCGGCGTAAACGGACCTTCGTGCTATCAAGCAGTGAGCGTGCGATGTCCTGTTCAGATGACGTCAAATCCAACGAGATGCCATAAATAAACTACACAGAATCACACTACACACCTACGCAATGATTACATTCAGGCAGACTGTAGAATACAACCTCTTTGGACCATTTATATACTTATTGGAAACAAGCTACAACATGTAATACCTTGGAAAATGCCGTTTAATACTTTTAATAGCCTTCATTTTCGCTAAATTGATTGATCAACTTTTAAGACTTGTTAAGACCCCGCGGACACCCTGCTCACATTGTCAGGACTTGACAGTTTTATGATCCTCTGTGCTGCAGAAACTTTGCGTTTTGGTGCCAAAGAAAGTACTCCGGTTTGTTACTCAGCCCTGAAACCAACATGTGCTGCGAGACACTCTGCTCACCCTCTGATCAAAGTGAAGCCGCAGCAGCACTTATTCATTTCAAACTGCAACACATGTGTCTGCAGGCCTGATGGAAGTTTCCATTGCTTCTCTCTTTGTGTGTACATGTGCATCCGTCTCAGCATGCTCCTCTTCTGTTCTGCTGCTCTAATCTCTCTCAAGAGCACAAGATGAAGAGTCTCTGAATCTTAAATACTAGGATCAACAGTTTTATATTTAGACCTCTGTCTACAGCAAGGAGAGGGTGCTTTACAAGTCACCAGCTTGATCCCGACTAAAGCCAAACATGTCAGAAAGGTGCTTATTGGATTACAAATAATACTCAACAGTTCAAAAACACTGTTTCTTGGATTTAAATTCGTTAGGAAGGAAACTGCAAGTAAAAACAGCATGTGTATTCCTTAGTTTAACACAAAATGTCTTGAATAGTATGTATAATGTTGTGCATTATCTCATGAAACATGTCCTAATTACAAATGATTACTGAATGATACTGAACATTGGATAAAGCCAGGTTCAAAATTCCAAATTACAAGAAGATTTGATATATTTCTTTGCATTAGTCCATCAATCAGTTTAGGAAAGCAGCTTTTTAAGATATGTATTGGAAAATTCTTCTACAGACGCAAATAGAAGTGAGTCAAATAATCACATGATGGATATTTTGGGGGGTTTTCGATCCACTAGTTTGAAAGGAGACTTGTAATAGAAGCAAAATAGTCAAAACATGCATGACATTTTTTTATTTTATTGTAGTACCTCCTGGCCATAAAAGCCCTAAAGTAAACAGCTCAAAAGGGAATAAAAGGTTGCCTTGTACTCCCTAGAGATACACTCTGACCCACAAAGGTTATGTGTCTGTCATCATCCGAATATTCATAAAGAAGACCCTCCCCGTCCCCCCCTTAGACACACCCAGCCTCCTGCTGTCAGCACAGTGAGCTCCTATCTCTCCTTATCACCTGTCCTCTCCTGTCCTCTCCTGTCAGGGTCGTTCACACTCAGCGCTGAGCGGGGACATCCTGACCTGCATCCAAACTTAGTTTCCAAACTCTCACTGCACCAAAACCTCAGCGACCTTCACAAACCTGACTCCTCCGCCAACAAGGGAGTGAGACGTCTGCAGAACAACAGGAGGTTAATGACTGTAAACACACAGAGCCCTCCGATCCCCCCCCCCCCCCCCCCCCGTGTGTGTGTGTGTGTGTGTGTGTGTGTGTGTGTGTGTGTGTGTGTGTGTGTGTGTGTGTGTGTGTGTGTGTGTGTGCGTGTGCGTGTGTGTGTGAAGCTGTGAGGGAGTCCTCTTGCACACCAGCAGATGGGCTGCTGATATGAAGATGATTGGATGAGGCACTCTGTCTGCTCTCATCACTTCTCCTTCTCCTACACATGGGACATGGAGGATCTAAATATTGACTATGATTTAAAAAAAGACCTCACCAAGTCACAGTTATTAAACAACACCTGTATTATTGGGGTGAGGGGGGGGGGAAATGGGTCCATACGAGAATCGATTCCTAACTTACAAAAATCGATATCTAAAAAGGTTTTGTTTTCTACCGAAGAGGCCAAATATGGCTACTGATGGACAGTTACCCTACATACAAGACTACGGTTTGTAAAGCATTATTATGTGTTGAATATGACACAAAATACACCTTTTACAGTGTTATTTCGTAAGCTAAACTGGCAGTCTTTTGTGGATAAATAGGCAGCGAGGCAAAGCTGAGAATTTCCTATTTATGCAACAATCAACATTTGTATTATTTGCATAACTTTAACTTTAAATACATAATAAAAATGTCTCGGTTTAG